AAATCCTGTAGCATGAGCAACAATGGCTGCAATCCCCACTGACAATGATGCCATTGTGGGCTATGGGTTGCTTAGTGTGTCCTGGAGCTGTGCCTGATAGAGTTATAGTGCTGATGTGATGGCTGTGTAGCTGAGGAGAGTAGTGTCCTTTCATATAAAGGGGGAAACTGCAAAGGAGTTTGAAAGAGGTTTCGGCTTCTCAGTTTTGCTTTGCATGAAGCCTGGGATTGTGTGTGTGTAGTGTGTGAAAGAGAGAGAGAGAGAGAGAGAGAGAAAGAGAGAGGTTACTAGCTTAACTTCACCAAGCTTCAAGCCATGAATCCTTTGCTCGCTGACACACACATGACTCGGCTCTGTAAAGAGTCAAAGTTGATGCGATGAATCCCAGAATTCAAGTCGCTGACTGCAACATGACTTTTCTATTTGTGAACGTATTAAGTCACAGTGTATGTAAAACAATACAGTTACTGTCTTCAAAACATGAGTAGGAGCTGAATGATAAGTGGAATTTTTAGTTATCTAACAATTTTTTTAAATTATTTATTAAGGAAAAATACTGATTGATTCTGTGTTATCGAATTAATTAAAGTTAAACATTTAAGTTAATATTGCGTAGCATTAGGTTTTGCACTGTTTGATTTAATAAGAAATGTTAGGACGCCACTTTGGGCGCTTAACTTTGAAATGCATTGTTCATTATGTCTCACTTTTAAAACTTAACCATTAAAGCTGGGGTTGGTGAAAAAGTTAAAAAGAGCTGACTATCATTGACCCTCTTGTCAAAGCTACAGCCCCACAACACATGAACATTCTCTACCTGACAACTGCTAGAAGCTTACTTCTCCGTGACTTGCCCGCTAACTTCTAGCAATGGGTGCGCCCAGACAGGCAGGTCAGTGTAGGCCAGCCAATCATTTCATTTATAGTCCTGATGAAATGTGTGGTGTTTTTTATTACAGTCTGGGTACATCGTCTGTTACAGATACTCCTTGGATCCACATTATTCCTGAGTTTTAGAGTCGCTCAAGCTACCAGTGTAGAATGCAACATGAATCTATTACAAGCGCTGCTTACGCTGTTGTCTTTGCCAACAGCTGGTGTGCAGTTAAATTCTACATTTTATAATGCATTGTATCAGCTTACATGCATAGGAGTCAAGCTATTATTCGAGCAATCTGCGACTATTACCATGTCGCATGCCTTCCTGTTCACACTGGCAGGCACATGCCCAGTGTACATGAGTGGTCACCTGATATGGGTTTTCATGGAGTGTAAGTATGGATGGGGATTAGAACTGATAAGAAACCAAAGCGGTTGTGTGGACAGACATTTTTTAGTTTGAAAACAGCATAGTACCATGGATGTGGCCTTAAGTAACATGTGTTTCAGAAACAATAAACAGATTATTCAACAATGTATAATAATGACTAGTTGATGTCCACATCCAACTCTGATCCACACTGAAAAACCGGCAGCATCTTGTGGATATATGCTGCTAAAACTCTGCATGGTCAGGCTTTTATTTTGGCTCTCCACTTAAGTGGGGAGGTCGGGAGGGCCTCTGGAGAGACACGGGCCACTGATACCACAGGATCATCATCCCCGTCATAACTCAGACACTCAGCTGGTAGACGTTATGTGGTGGCATGCCACAAGTACCTCAGTTGTCACCTCTGTTAGTCAGATTAGGCTCTGGCAGCGTGGAGTGACATGATGAGTGGTGGGTATGACCACCGGGTGCTAATGCAGAGGACACATAAAGAAAGGGACACAGAGGCAGACAGACAGACAGACACTGCAGCACATGGAAAAAACGGTATGTCAGTTTTGCTGATGTCTATAGTAACAGTAGCCTCCAATTTGACATTCCCTCCACCAAACATTGGTTTTCTGTTTTTTTCCTTCTTTTTGGCTTCTCTTTGACCTCCTTAAAAGAACAAGCTATGTTTCCCAGGGCCCAGCTATTTGAAGCTCATAGTTTTGGTCATCCAAAGTTTTCTGCTCCAACTCAAGCCGTTCAGACACTGTCCCCACTTACATTTCCACAATGGCAGGGTCCTGGGGGCCAGACCATAGCCGCCCTACACTGTGCCCACAGTTGAGTTGCCTCTGGCAGGACTAGTGCGTGCTTTGTGTGCTGGTTCTGGCGAGCGATCAGGGAAACCCCACAGTCTCTCCATGGTGAATGTCGAATGCCCTGCCAAGACCATTATGCATTCCTTCAATGGCCGTGAATAGCAGCACACTACAGTACTGAAGATTTGAGAGATGTGCAAAGACCGTGACACAGATACCCACGTCGGTGAACTGAACTAATCCCTGACATGGTTTCTCTGTGTTGTGTCTTGGGTCTTTTCTTGACTGACAACAAACAAAACAAATCCTGATAAAGTGTGTCCTACATCGCGCCACACAGGAAACATGAAAACAGTCAATGAATAATATTCCTTGACACAGATAATGAATTAAGTCCAAACAAACATTGCTCTAGGAAGCCAGGAGATTATTTGACAGATTCTACAAATGTTGATGTTGTGGCTGTGAATGACAGCAGGAGGCCTATAATGTCCACATTTAACACTCTTAAATATGTGGATTAACGCTCTTTCCAATGAGTATGTGTAAAACACTGAGCCACGCTGACACGCTAATCTCCAGGACTCAAAAAACATTTGAACTTTTTGCCATTTAGTATATCACATATTTGTATTCTCTGTTCTCCAGACCAGAGAAACAACTAAACTCTATCCTTAACACCTACACTGCTTCACAATTTGTTGCCTATAATAGTTCCTATATGCTCAGTTGCTTGGCAGATCAGTGTCAAAAATGTTAATGGAACAAAACTAGAGTTTAACTCTATTTAGCACAGAGGGACATCTGTTGATTGATTTAAAACTTGCACACAGTTTCCCAGCACTCCCACAGTCCAGCAGCATATTGCAGTGGTGGATATCAAGATGAGTCACATCAGCTAGCAGGCAGCTGGCAGGCTTGCAGTATCAGCCTATCCTGTTAATCTTACGATTAGCCTTCACTGATCCCATCAGGACTGCCTGGATCTGGGGTGCATAGCCTAAAGGCTTATCCTGCAAGTCGACCTGCCTCACTGTGGCCACTACAAAACCCAGCACAAAGTGGGCACACACACACACACACACACACACATGAATACACAGCACACCCCAAATATTTCAGCTTTTCCTAATACCGATAACAGAGACAACATATCCCCAACACAAAGCCAAGAGACTGGAGGTCATCGTGCTTATGCCACAATGCCCCCCCCCCCCCCAAATACACACACCTCCACTAACATATCTGGAGCCCTGATACGATGCTGTTGTGTTTTAAGAGGGTGGTGGTAGTGAAATGTGTCACAGAGGTCAGGCCCAGAAAGTAAAGGGGGGTTAAATTCTGTGCTCTTCTGACACTGAGGGGAGGAGGGGGAGGGGAGGGTTGGGTAGCAGCCAAGTGACATGCCGTGACAAGCCTCCAGGCTTTCTCAAAGTAGGAAAGCATTGAGAGCACACAAGCAAACGCTCATGCACTGCACCCACAAACGAACACAGACACACGTGAGTGTGCACACACCCATGCAATTACATACCTGTCAAAATGCAGATCGAGTGTCGAAAAGAGACTTGCCAACATTGATTTCCTTTTAGGAAAAAGATAATTAACAAACACTGGGTTAATAATCGTGAGTTACCAACGCACATGTGAGAGCTTATATGTGTGTCTTCGAGGCAACAGTTGCCTGCAGTCTTGCCATGATATGCTCCATCATGGCAGAAGGTTTAAGGGGCTTTTCATAGGCACCGACTGGACACAGGAAAGAATCATTTTACTGATGGGAAAAAGGAATGCTGGAGGCAATTACCTCCCCTGACTCCCTGTCCTTGGGTCAAAGGGGACCGGCCATAAACGCCTGGACACCAACAGAGACAGACCTCTGACCATGCAGGCCTTGTTTCACTCTCCCTGCAGCCACGGACATCAGCTGGCTGAGGAGCCTCTGGTTGTTTAAATTTACAGCACAATGTCATTCTGTGTCATGAATAAGCAACAATGTACATATTCATCCAGCGTAAGCACATAAGATGATGGTGATGCTAAAACTGGGGCCATATGCAGGGCAATGAGACAGAAACTGCAAATTATCTTATCATTCAATAATGCTTTCTCTATATGCCCTACATTCATTTTTAAGCCACCGATGTGTGCAGGTGTACGGACACCTGCTATTGCCTTTTGTGCCATTCTATTGTGCAGAATGATGTCACAGCAGCAATAATTAGCGGTGACAGTCAAGATGCCATTTTTGTTGCCGAACATGTTTGACAAGCTCGACGAGAATATAATGCACACTTGCCAACCCGGCAGGCTACTCTGTCGCCTCTTGCACAAAAGGGTCTGAGCCTGGTGCTGTCTGGGTGCCAGACACCTGAACACGGATTCATTATCATAAAACATGAAGCATGATGTCATTCTATTCCAACCTGTTCTCTCACCAGAACATTAGAGCACAGCTGGGGTGGCAGAAACATGTTTTGTTGCCCATTGGTTTAAAATCTAAAAAAGCATATAAAGGTACAAGTTAGATCATATTTATTTTTTGATGATTCAAGTTAATAAGGTAGGTTTTTCCTTTCCATTCATGCCCTGCAAGGAATTTTTCAGCTGTTACAGTGCAGTCGGAGGAGAAGTGAATGAAACGGTCTGGGATGTACCATTAACATCTAGGGGGTTGCTGAAGTGTGATGAGCAACAGATGTGCAACTGAAATCCACCAAATAAACTATTCGTTTGAGGATTATACCCACTACTTCTTTTTTTGTTTGTTTAACCGTGTAACAAAAACGTTATATGTTTTACCGTGATATAGACACCCTACAAAGAAAAGAGACCCCCCCCCCCACTGTGGCAGCAGAATGGACTGATCCTAGATGATGTTACTTACAGCCCTTTAAAGTCGCTCCATTTCCGAGATGAAGTAAAGTCGAGCTGCAGCGCACAGACACAGAAGAAGAAGACATGGACAATCTGCGCCTCCGAACATTTAACAAAACCCTCGCTTAGACCGACTATGTTGAGGGACACATTTGGACACTGGGATTTTTTAATGGACTTGCGATCGAAGGAGTTTTCTTTCTGTCCACATCTACGTTGGACGTGGCGTTTGCGAAAAAGTAGCCTGAATTAGTCATTAAACACAACGTGCATCGTTTGTTGTTGTTTATATCTGTATTGTGCTCAAAGACAACAGCAGCACCCTGGACTACTCTCCTGAAACAGGAATGGTTTATCCTCCCGAAGGTTTATTCTACATCGAAATGGATCAAGCGCCACCAGGTAAGTTTAGGGTTAAAGGCAGCCATTGTCTGAACTGCGGGGGGTCGGAAACCGTCTTATTCTTTTTTTATTCTCACAATGCTATTTGCTTTTTTTTTTTTGCTACCATGGTGTTTCTGCAGCGTCTTGTGGCAAAGTTGACACCTGACAAATGTCGTGTCGGTGCTGGTGGAGACGCTCTAATGGAGAGAGGCGCTGCGCTCCCCCGCTGGCATTGCCCAGGCATGCATAGCGCAATTCACTTGCCAATTACGTAATACCTTTCTGTGGACCGGGCGCAGCGGCTCCGTTTCTTTTGTCCCGGCGCAGATGACAAACTTCCACAGGGACACACGGCGGCTCTGCGCCTCCTCACGGAGCAGGAGCAGATCCACGGGAGGAGAATGGCGGCGTTTAGAAGCGGATAGAGCCGAGGGTGCGTTAATGAGCGCCGCATGAAACGAGCGCTTTGTTCTCCTCTGCAGCCAGCCGTGCTTAATTTGTGCTGCTAGCTCTGAAAGTAGGCTAGAGGCGAGCAGACACACAGACAGCTCGTCTCATGACTTCACTCAACAACGCTTTTTAAATCTACATCTGTCGTTTGACCTCGGCCTTATTACATTGTTCCTACTGTCTATTACACTGTAATACGGGCCTGTCATGTCTTGGTCGGAACAACTGTCTGGATCCATTTATTTGGCTGGACCTTAATTGCACCACAACTTTCACTCCTACACATTAATTGTATTATTAAAGATATTTGTTAAATACAATACAACATGAACTAGAATGAATAATACTGACACATTTATATATATTTATATATATATACAAACTACATTGTAACTTATGTAACCGATATATATAAATAATATATATGATAAAAAATATAATCTTATTAACCCATTATAGGAACAATGTCATCCAAAAACATATTACACAAACTTACCATTATATGTTTTCTGGATTGGGCAGAATGCTAACTCCATTATTATTCTCTCTCTCTCTCTGTGTATATACAGCATATATATATATATATATATATATATATATATATATATATATATATGTATATGTATATGTATGTATATATTATGGAATGGATTACAATGTAATGGATTACAATGTAGTTTGAAATGTGTAACAAATAAAGGTTACATTTTCATAACCATGTATGGGAGCAGAAAAAATATAGCCTATAAATATTATTATTATTATTTCTTACTTTAATTACGTGGCTCTTGTCTATACTGGTATGTGCATGTGGCTTTTGGAAGCCAGTGGAGTTTTCTTGGCAGCAGACAGAAAGGGGAAGGTGTGCAGATTTAATTTTGCTGAGCTCAGGAACCGCAGCTTTTCGTTTTTGTGCCTGCCACTGTGCTGCTGCACCTGCCTTTTGTTTATTTTAAGGTCAGAAAAAGAGGAGAGCGGATGGTGGGAGAAACCCACATTTTCTCCTCTCTGAGGGTGCTCTTGTATTTTCCCCAACTGCCTCATGAAAGGCACTTTTGTCCTGCAGTGAAATATATCGCCCTTCACCTCCTCTTGATGCGGTTTGCTCTCCTTTTTCATTTTTAGGGAAAACGCTTAGTACTTCAGGCCAGATTTAAGTTTTTTTTTTTTCTCCTCGGAGGCTGATGGAAAACTTATGAGGATCTGTAAGCGTGAGATGTTCACAAGAAGGGAGGGGTGGTCCACGAGGCTCAAAATACAATTTATGGTCTATTTAATGCTTCACGTGCCATTCAGGACAGTGCCAAAGTCAAGGAACTGGACTTAAAACAACTTTTCTTCAGGCAATTAAACGCTTAATAATGAGGATATGTGGAAAAAAGAAAAAAAAGGCATGTATCACAGTTGTTGACGGATTGTGCTCATTATTGAGGTGGTGTGCTGACCACATTTAAGATCTTGGTCATGATTTGGCATGTGACACCTCATGGTAACATGTCTGGGCTTGTCCTCAGATCTTCACAGGCTCCTTAAAGCAGAGGTGTGACAGAGAGAGTGTGTGCATTTGTTGTGGTGGGGATGGGAGGGGACCAAACTGAGAACACTAGCTCTTTCTCTCACAGGAGTTATGAAACCGACTACACTTGATAACAAACTATCGTCCTGATCCTTTGTATTTCCTTCTCGTCTGCAGCTCTGCCTCCCAGGTCAACAAAGCCAGTGTCTTCCACCATGAACAACAACTGCCTTTCACCACCTGTGTATTCGCTACAGGACGCTGAATGGTACTGGGGAGACATATCCAGGTAACCAACTGAAGCACCATTTTAAACATGATATCGTTCTCACAGAGTCTAATTAGTGCATGTTGTTTGGTTGTTTAACACACTGGTATTTCAGATCCGTTAACTGTTTACTGATTTTCCTCAGGGATGAGGTCAACGAGAAACTCAGAGACATGCCTGATGGCTCCTTTATGGTGCGTGACGCATCCACAAAACTGCAAGGAGACTTTACGCTGACGTTGAGGTAAGCAGAAGGAAAAGAGAGCTGTTGTTGTGCTGTCGCAAATATGATCAAAAGGTTGAATTTAAGCCAATAATCTAATTCTGGGATGTGTTGTTTCACAGGAAAGACGGGCACAACAAGCTGATCAAAATATACCACAATGATGGGAAATACGGCTTCTCGGACCCCCTCACGTTCACTTCTGTGGTGGAGCTCATCTGGCACTATCAGCACCATCCACTGGTGGAATACAACGCCACCCTGGATCTGATGCTCACCAATCCTGTGTCCCGTTTCCAGCAGGTTAGTTTGCATCTTTACTTTTCATCAGTCTGCAAACGTGTTTGATATCGGATGATTAAATACAGTGGACTATGAATTGTACATGTTTAATCAAATATTTTTCTGACATTAGGTGAAAGAAGACAGTGTCGACGTTGCAGGGAGAAAGCTGAAGGAGGTTCACTGTCAGTATCAAGAGAAAACAAGGGAGTTTGATTGTCTTTACGAAGCCTTCACCAAGACCTCACAGGTAAAAATAACTTTGAAATGAACTTTGCTTCTCTCACATTTTCTATACAAAATAGAATTAATTTTAGATCAGTTTCTCATGTTTTTTCTCAAAGGATGTATTCACTGTGATGCAGGAAATCCAGATGAAGCGCACCGCAATTGAGGCCTTTAACGAGACAATGCTGATCTTCGAAGAGCAGTGTCGTGAACAGGAGCGTTACGGAGAGGAGTTTGAAAGGAACAATCCGTCCGACGCTGCTGACACAGACCTGGAGAGGTACTTCATTACGTCATGGTCCAACAAATATGTCGTGTAGTTTAATGTAGAATGCAACATAATCCTTGAACTCTGCCCATCATGACCTTCACTTTCCCTTCTCTAGCTTTCTGATTAATTATGAGAAGCTCAAGTGTCGACTCGGGGAGATCTACGACAGCAAAATCCACTTGGAGGATGACTTGAGAACACAGGTGGAGGACTACAGAGAGACAGACAGGAAGATGAACAGCTTGCGACCTGACCTTATCCAGCTACGCAACATCAGAGACCAGTACCTCAAGTAAGCAGCGTCACAGTATTGTTTGTCGTCTCTTTGGTATATCACTTCAAGCAAATTAAGGGAAGAAATGTTCTGTAGCTGTCATTTCATGTTCAAATTGAGCATTCTTCTACTCTTTGCATTGCAGCTGGCTTAACCACAAAGGCGTACGGCAGAAACGCATAAACGACTGGCTGGGGATACAGAGCGACAGCCTCGATGAGTAAGTACCAAACATTTTTTAATCTAGAATAAACATTGAAGAATGAGATGAATAACTTCTACATCAAATTCAGAATTGTAGCAGGGGTGTTAAAGTGTGATTTTTGTTCTTGCAGCACCTACGTGTTGAAGGGAGATGAGAAGAACTTGCCACATCAGGAGGAGACGAGTTGGTTCGTTGGTGAAATGAGTCGGACGCAGGCTGAGGAGATGCTTCAAAGCAAAGCTTGCGGAACGTTCCTGATCCGTGAGAGCAGCAAACAGGGATGCTACGCCTGCTCCGTTGTGTGAGTATCCTTATGGAATAAAGAATTGATGAAGATGATTGTTAAAGATGGTGGAATTGTTTGACACTCATTGACAGGATATTTCTTTTCTGTTTATTTCAGTGTGAATAAAGAAGTGAAGCATTGCATGATCTACAGCACACCGCACGGATACGGCTTTGCTGAGCCCTACGACGTCCACTGCTCACTGAAAGACCTTGTCCTGCACTATCGCCTGCACTCTTTAGCGCAACACAATGATGCCCTGGACGTTCGGCTGTCACATCCAGTGCACGCCAAAGCCGCAGCCACGCCTTCTCCACATATAGAGGACCGCAAACTCTTACAAACTCCAAAACACACAGTGGGGCTCCCGCCTGCAGCTCCAGAAATGTAATCCAACGGAGGGAGAGACAAAAGGACATGTTTACTGTATCCTGCGAGAACGACTGCATCGAGGTGCATTGTGTAAAATTTTGCACTACAGTGATTCCATCGGTTTTTGTGAATGAGATTTCACAGATTGAAGTGGGACCGGAACTTGAATGTCAGCTTGAACTTTTCTTTTTCTTTTGTTTTCAAAGAGACTGTTTAAGCTTTCAAGAAAAATAAATTTGTACTTCATTTATTGCCGTTTGTTTAGTGGACACTTTTAGTAGGGATGTTTGACGACCAGAAAATTGCTCACTAACATCAGGTGCTGCACCTTTGTTTGACTTCAACTTTTTACAGCTCGAGTTGATGTTGCAAGAGATGTCCTTTTGCATAGTTCAAATGAATTCAGTTGTGAAAAACTGACCAGTATGTTGGATATATATTAGGTTACGACTACTTTTTGTGAGAGTAGACGGTGATGTGAACAGGCTGATTCCGTCATGGTGGCCCGAAATTCTTGGATAAATGCCAGATGTGAATATGTGAAACGTCATGGGACACCTCGACAATTGGCCCCTTTCTTAATAGACATTCATATACAGTGGATAATTATGTAGCATTAACATCCTGTAGAATACCATTGTAAGAGCATACTCAATGTTATAATATCCATTGACCAAAGCACTTAATAGTGAGCAAATCTACATCCCTGTTTTAGTCCGGTAAAATGCATATTGGGCGAGGGGAGGGCAATTTATGTACACCTGCTGATGTGCTGATCAAAACATAATCTGAAGTACTGTATGATATATTCTGTTACTCAAAGAAGTATAAGCTTTTTGTATTCTATATATATTTTTTCTATAAATATGCCACAAGATGAAAGCTTGAAGAAAGTGCAATCCAACAGTATTTCTATTGTTGCAATGTATGACGATGATGATGGTGGTGAAGGTAATGCTGTTATGAGAGGTTGACATTTGCCACACAAAAAAAATGCACTCTCTTTGGTGGTGTCAGTGTGATGTGGCCTCCGATGTTTGTGTGAACTGCCAGAGGTCCGGACGTGTCCTGCCTCCATTACTTGAACTGTGGCATTGCTCAAGCTATGAATGTTTTTACATGACATGCAGCCTACATAGCTTAAGAGGAAAGGAATCCATGTTGAACTTGGCACATTTTTCAAGTTTGAGGACAATAGATACTCTGTACAGAGAAACTGTAAAATGTATTTCTGAGGTTGGTTTATGGAAGGAGGGTGATTAAGCCTCTTTATGAAAATATAACTCCACTGAGGGGATTGAGGAAGCTCCTCGGGTGAAGCTAAGCAATGTGAGATCCTGACCTTTTTTCTTGCTGAAAGACAATAAACTGATGAGGGTTTTGTCAAGTTACATCATCTGTTGCTTTTTGTTCACAGTCAAGTGTTGATAGCACAGCTACATTTTCTAATCATTTACCGTCAAAGATTTCAGAAGGTATTTCAGTTACCACCAAGGAGGATATGATTTCATCCGTGTTTGTTCATTTGTCTGTCTGCTGTTCCACAAAACTAGATAGAAGGATGCAGTCTATTTCAGGGAAGACCAATAGTGCATGAAAAATGTAGTGCGATTCCAGGATTTTAACATTGTGAGATGAGTGGTTTTCAGTATTTTTGTTTTTGTATCATAATTGATGCATATTGATGAAAAAGATCAGGCAGATTTAGGGAACTGATAATTATAGATTTTGTGCAATTTGGTGCAGATCCAAATAAAACTCTGGCTCTAGTGAATTCATATGTGGTTTCATTAGGGGATAAACCTTATTTGTTAGTTAGCAGGATTACGCAAACGCTACTGGGCCGATGACCCAAGGAAGAATCCATTTCATTTTGGGGCTGATCCAGATCAGGGGGCAGATCCAGATTTCTCTTTCTTAAACATTATGAGACAGGAAATCTGTCAACATTTTCACAGTTTCCAAGGGAATAATTCATGCATCTTGATGAAAAACTAAATCTGGCACCTTTAGGGAACTGTTATCTATGTGTGTGCAGTTTGGTGCAGCTTGACTGAATTTAAGGAGACTGTTGGGCCTTGGCAGAGGTAGGCTCTCTACTAAGTGCCATTCTACTTTTTTACAAGTAATATTTCCATTTTTATTACATGCATAGAGAAATTAACCAAATACAAGGCACAGAATGTCAAACTAGTTTTCTACAAATGCATCATCTCTACAAAAACCATTGTTCTCTGATGAGCTTATTCTCAGGGAAGATAGGAGGCAGCGAGGGTACTGGAGGACACACTGAGGACAGATGGAGGAGAAAGGAAGCGATAAAGACAATAGCAGGATATGTGCAGGCCCTTTCCCCTGCTCGGCCTGGCACGCCATTAGCAGTGTTAAACCAACTTCGCTGGGAACATGCAATATTTTGAACTTTTTTTTTTAAACGCTCCTGTGAAAGGAATGCAGCCCAACTGTAAACATTTGGTACCAGCCAGCTCCAGAGCAACTTGAGTTTGGTCTCAGAACTTTTATCGAACATTCAACATGGTAATTGATAATTGAATGAATGCGTTCCAACTCCATCCACAAGCAGTAATTATGATAATAATGAAGATTACCCAGCGTGACACCACCATCGGCCCATCCGTGACCACAGCAACAGGTGGCCTCTTCCAACCATCACATAACTGCGTTAGGTAGGGGATTAATGAGGTGCAGAGTGTAGGGATGTACTGGGGAAGAGTCTCAGTTCCAGGCCGCGGATTACTCCCTCTTACCTGTGTCAGCACAGGAAGCTGGTGGACAGGACAGGACAGGGCAGCATACGTGCAGTCCTGCTCAGGACAGACCAGATGCAGGGGAGATATAGGCACACAGGACAGGCTGTACCGGCGCTGAGTCACCCTCGGCTCTGCAAAAAAAAAAGGCAAGGAGAGAGTGGGTAGAGAAAGTGTGTGTGTGGGGGTGTGTGAGTGTAGCTGCTGGAGGAAGTGGTGCTTAGAGATTAAAAAATAAATAAATAAATACAACTCTTGTAATCAGTGAGCCTTTACACTCCC